TTAGTTTATACAGTTGCACGGTTTAATTGCAAAAGAACTCAGCTAGTTATTACTGAACTCTCCACATTTTTTTCAATTTATTTTCCTCAACTTAAATCAAGTTCTTTGTTGACAATAAACAACTTGTTACATCATAGTTGCAGTGTTGTTATTCACAGACAAGAGAAAGTAAGTAAGCAGTACTGCTCTAATCAGTCAAACCATTAGGTCTAAGTTGTATGACGAGTCAACAAAGTTTTCCACTGGATTGATTCACCCTTCTTACAAGTCCCAAGAAAAACGAAGGACCTCAATCTTGAGCCAACAACTCTTCCAAATTTCCCTTTTTCCATTATAGTCACACATAAATGAATAAAGACAATGCCCTATGCAYCAAACTCAATCACTGTTGCCTTCTTTCAAATGACAGAGCAATATGCACAGCACTTCATCTTGATTCCTTTGTGCAWGCCTTCAKTCAAAATKTGCAAGTCCCCCATTTGCTTTGGGTTTGGGGGACAAAAATGCCAACAATTGACTATAATAGTAATATTGTTTGTAGCTTGAAAATGTGAATGCAGCCTACTACTGGAAAAGAAGCCAGAAAAAAATTCTGACTTTGTAGCCTTTTGAAGCACATCAATGGCTACACATTTTGACATTTTACTTCAAAACATTTTGTTAATTATTTAAAGAGAAAAGTCATTTCTGCTCTGAACAGCTTTAGAAATATGTTCTCTTCAAAACAATGTCAGCAAGCCATTGCCCACATAAAATTGAACAGTGTTACATGTATATCAACTGCTGCAATGAGAGTTATACTACTTATGTTACAACATCAAAACATAATCCTTTCATTAAAAAGTCTGCAATTATAAAAATAATCCTAATCTGAATTAAAAACGTTAGTCTGACATAAAATAGACAATTGCTAGAATTGAGCAGAGAATCAAGAATGATAGGCCACCATGTTGAAGACATAGCTTTTCATTGTTCATATTTAGTGTCTTGAGTCAAAGCTATATGTTGTCTTGTAGAAATAGTTCTCAAATTATCACATTCTCCTCTTGTTTACTTGATTTCTCTTTGAGAGACTTTGCTGATAACATTGTTGATGTCRGCCTTCTTGTTTATCTTGATGTAAGGACACTTGCGAACAAGTAGCACAGTYAGCCATTCTGGTGCTAGTTCTGACAACAGCCTTAGATGTTCTTCAACTTGCACTACAATGGAAATGTTTACGTTATGGACAGTCAATAAAATATGGAAACCTAAAGTTTTCAAATCAAATGCATGGGTGTGTGAGTGACTGAGTAGAAAGGAAAATCGCACACAAAGGCTTTGCGAAAATATACAATGCAAAGAAGCAATCTCCCTAATACAAGGTTGTACTATCAAATTTCTCAACTTTTTTCCAAATAGAGAAGTGATGCACAAATCATGCAGGTTATAGATTTTGTACATGTCAAAGTTGATTACCTGGAGTCAGAGAGGATTTATAACTCTCTGACAACTTGATGGTCGCATCTTCCAAAGGAATTGCGGCCTTTTTCTCTGCAGTAAAATAACTATGCAAGAGTCAAGGAACATTTTCAAATAGCAATTCTTATAATGATAGAATAGCAGAAAATGTTGACTTGACTGACAAACATTTGACTGCCTATTCATATCTGCCTTCAACAATATGGCAAGTTCAAAAAATTTGCTTTTGTAGAACTGATGAAAAAAATGTGTGCAGTTAGCTTACTAAATGAGTTCTAAGAACTTTAACTCAAGGAATGAAAACTACTTAAGGATACGTTTTCAGGATTCTGCACAAGTCTGGTAGTCTTTCTTGCATAATCATCTTTTTGTCCAGCACTGGATCTCGCATCATCTTCTCTTCAAGTTTTCTGGCTTCTTTTTGCCTAATCTATTTGTCAAAATAAAACATTTTAATTATTGTTAAAATGACATCTTTAGAAGTACATTATCAGAGGACAAAAGTACTTTCAAGAACAGTTTAATTACTGAAAATTATATCAAGATATTGAATTTTTACCTTATTAAGAAGGTCTTGAGAAACACCTTTCAAAGCAGTGTTTTGCTTTTGGTTTTTGTTTTTTGTCTGGTTGTCTTCACCCTTTGGTTGGCTGTCATAAGTGATGTCTAGTTTGGGTTTCTCTTTGGACTTGAGTGCAGCATTTTTCAGAGCTTTCTCAACCTGAAGACAACCATATGGTTTGAATAAAAGCAGCACCTTGTTTTATAGTTTGTGTATGTGACTATGCACAAGGTAAGTGAGTTTTAACAAAACAATTTTTATTACCCTTGAAGACACAAGCCCACATCCTCTATCAAGAACATCTTGTGCTGAAGTAAAAGTCTTRATAACTGGAGCTTCTGGTAGTGAAGACTGCTCTATGTCAGGAACATCATCCAGTTTGAACTGTGGATGCCATCTTATGATCTTGTCATCATCAATGCTCAGGGGAACTTCCAAAGTCTTTAGGAATACCTGGTAGAAGTATGTGCATGTTACAACTGACAATATCATTGCTATAAAAAAATAATACAACTGTTCAGCATGCAAGGAAAGAAACCTTTCACACCTAAAGACAATTATTCACAGGTATCTATCATTRCACGCTAAACAATTATCTTGGATCAATGCAAAGACATGGTTACATTTCAAGATAGCACAGAAACCTGTGATGKGGATTGCACTGGATTACGCTGCTTTTTTGTTTTTATTTGACTACATGTATTGCACTAACAAAGGAACCCTGTATTTTCATGTGTAATCAGTGGATCCTACCTGGTGGTGCTTTTTGGTGGTAGCAAGCAGACGGTCATGRAAAACTTTTCTTCTTGAAAGCAACTCAGTGGAAGGAATAGWTAGACGGCAATCTTTAGAATTTTTAACAGGACCAAACTGGATTGTCAGCTGATAKGAAGCAGACTTTGTATTTTTACGGACTTGTTGAACATCATAGGAATTTGGCAACAARAAGATCATYTGTCCAAGACTTTTCTTTTCGAATCTCCTAAAATATAAGGTACAGACGTCATAAAGAGACAATATCAGAAATTGAAGTTTGAAGAAAGAATTTTAAAATGGAAATAAGGAAAAAAATATTTAAGAAAACATTTAAGGTATAAAGGCATACTTTCGAGACATTTGCTGAACAGATTCCTTCAGCTTATCAAAKGTGCAGGTCTCATTTCGTTGYCCCATGAGATTYAAGATGGTGTCACATGAGTTGAATACTTCACCAAGAACCTTGTACTTGTAGGGGAGGGGTAGGGTGACTGTTGCCTCTTGCGGTTGAGCCAGTGAATGGAATCTTTCATAAGCTGCAGCCTTCTTAGGACTGGTGCAATTAAATAATAAAGAATTAGGATAATAAAGCAGAATTATACTGACACTATAAGGAGAGATGTAAACAGTTGTGAAATGAGATAAATTTGAGAAATGTGAATGTAAACATTCACATGACTTCATTTTTAATTTAATTCTTAACTCTGACAAAGGTCTAACATCCAAAACATCAGGGAGTTACTTCTCTTACTTTATAAGGGGTATATTTTATCCTATTTCATAACATCAACTTGACAATGGACACCCAGAAGAGATTTCTACAACACCAATCCCCACCCTTGTTGTCAAGGGGTTGCACTTCATAAGAATGCAATCATCACTGCCATTTGTTTGCTCTGCTAGGTATTGTATTCTATCATCACATTGTAAAGAGTGTCGCCCTGACACATCTCTGGTGGCCAATTAATGGAAAGTTCTACCMACGCTATCACAAGTATCTTACCTTGCGGAAGACTCTGGTGAAGCAGCACCACTAGATTGCCTCTTTGCAAGTTTATGCAATCTCTCTGAAGAATCATTTGTGGTGRCAAGCTTGCATTTGGATGCATCAGACTCCAAAGACCTCATCTTTTTTATCAACTCCCTAGCTTTCTCYAAGCCTTCTTGGGCTTTTGTCTTTGTCAAAGCATTTTTCGCAGCTTCTTTTGGCCTCTGGGATTTAGTTTTTGAAGGTATGAAGTTCTTGGACGCTGCACTTTTTTGCTGGCTTAGAAGAAGCGCTGCTTGCCCTCTGGAGAGCAGAACTTTATTGGCTTGATCAGATATCCAAGGATTGATTTTRAGGCCAGAGGGAGAGGCGGTTTTTACTGGAGATTTAGCTTTTACCATGATTGAGGCCTTTGGATTTGCTGTGACTTTTTGCTCTTTGCTTATGCTTTCATTATCAACGTCTGATTCGGTTTGAGTGGTTGCACTGGATTTGATTTCGTTAGAAGGAACTATAGCTTTTTTGCTTCTTCTTGTCGAGCGGACTTTATGGCCAATCTTATCCTGCCCTACTGTTTCAACGTTGTCTTTGTCTGCTTTAACAGTTTCCTGCTCTTTCTGAACATTCTTTCGTCGTCTTTGAGATGTGGTCTTTTTGAATGAAACCCCCACAGAATCGTGATCATCGTCTATCGATGTTACTTGGTCATCAAYCCTTTCMGGCTCCTTGGGGCTTGGTTTCATTTCTGCACAAAGGAAAGCGTCTAAAGCTGCACTTTGGACATTCTCTGCTAAGGTCGGCGGCTTTTCAGAGGGAGAGACTTCACCAGTCTTCGAAGACGCTCTTGTKTTTGTTCTTCTCGGAGCAGTTTTCGTGTCTTTCCTTCGAGTGCTTTGACGAGTAACCCTTACAGACTCTGTTTGGACTACTTTTCTTCGTTTTGCCGGGTGAATGCCTTCAATCGGACGCTTTTTAGCGGAGTAAAACTCGGTTAAAGTGGCTTGCTCCATATTGTTGTTACCTCGAAGCCGGTGCTCATATGATCGCTTGCATACAATTTTGGCGCGAAATGATCATGGTAACACCAGTACGACGATTTTGTTGGTCAGCGTTTACAGTTTTCCGAATATATTCCGTCGATTTCCCGACCACTCAATATTTGACAYACAAATAAAACTTTTATAAGAATTTACTTAGAAATATCCTTTGAATAACAGAAAGGAGGAGGCTATTAATAAGTAATAATTACAAAATAGGTTTTAAACTTRTGTTTTAATTTTTGAAGGTGATCCGACAYATTCGGCYCATGTTCGGATACTTTCCGTACGGAATCGTAAATATTTACTAATAGAGAGCAGAGGCCACTGAAGTGAGCACAAAACATCTCTGATCAAACATCATTTTCTKGAATATTTTAAAAACTAACCTTATGTCTTGATTCCAAAATCATTTCTTCACAAGTAAGAACACTAATTTCGGTTAATTTACACTCTATTTTGAGACAATTCTTGAGAGAACGGAAATCGTTCAAGTCGAACGATCACATCGACCATTKGSMWTTTKRMMARGRARKTTTTKRAACTTCTACTTTCGACTTGATTTTCTCTTTCTGAAYATTCAAGATGGGCCAGATAGAATGGGCGATGTGGGCCAACGAACAGGGAGTTATATCAAGCGTTGGTGAGTTACGAAAGAGATAATAATATGCTCATAAAAATGTTCAGAAAATGCCTTAACAATATAAGTTTAACTTAACTTAAGTTTCTCTGCCTTCTTTGGTATCCTCCTCTCTCTTTAATTCTACATGTGTAATTCGATAGTGGCTATTTATCATTCTAGAACAGTCTACTTGAGTAGAAATGGGATAGTTAAAAGAAAAAGTTGTTATTCCTTTACTTACATGTAATTATCAAAAACGTGATAAATGTCACGATCCTTTACAGAAAAAAAACACAGTCTGCATAGATTAAAAAATACAGAAGATCACATACAGCAGGGAACTTAACCACATCACCCTAGCTATTTAGATTTATTACAGTTGTGGTGGCTAATTAGATCATCTCCTGGTCAGCAGTTTGGACAGCGAGCTTAGCACAATCATAAGCAAGGGAAAGTAAATTTTATGATTCCGAGTAGGGGGGGGGGGGGGGGGGGAAGTATGAAGTAAGACCCCTTAGAGAATTTAATGATTTTTTTTCATAATATTATACCCCTCCCCCTCCTTTTCATTTCATTTCATGGCCCTCCTAAGGCTGCTACACTTTTTTGGAGCCCCTCTTCAACATACACTCCGCATAATATAAGCATTCCCCTAATTTCACTGGGTCATTGTGGGCATACTTGAGCCTAGATTCCGGCATTTACATCAGCTACTGTGGCACATTTCTCAATTCAAGTTATTACCTAATTTCTCACCTGGCTTGTCTATTTTCAGTGATATTGATTGGAGGCATTCTTGGAGTAGCAGGACCATTTCGATGGTGGGARATTGGTGCATATTCATTGTATCCTGGATAATGCTTTTTATATTACTTTTATTATGTTGATTCTCAAAAGATTTGAACCTCTATTATTAATAGCCTTATAAGCCTGGTTCATACTACTAACAAGCTTGTACCCAGTCTTTACTCTTCTTTTTTATCCTTTGATGCCATGCAAACTGTAAAAAGGCAAAAGAGAAACAACTAAGTACAAGTCTGCACCACTAACACTAGCAACCGAAATGCAAACGCAAATTAAAGAAAATCCAAATGAAAGATGGGTCTTGTGTTTGCATGTGTGTTTGCATTTTCAACATGTGAACTGGTACAATTGCACTTGCTTGGCACATGTGAGCCAGGCTATATTTCTCAATAACATTCATTGAGCTGTCATTTATTAACAGTTTCCAAGAAGACACTTGTTATCCATGTTTGTTGAACAGTCATTCTGCACTAAATATTGCCTGGTTTATCACCAAGGAGACCATTTAGAAGTCTAATAACTTTATTGGGATAGCAACCATGAACAATTAATTCAATGAAGTATCAATTTAGCATCCTAACTGTTTGTGATTGTATATTTTAAATTTTTGATTAATTATGTTTACATTGCTTTTATTGATGTTGTATTTTCATTAACTTGACGTCTTTAATCAGAGTTCTTGGGGCYCTCATATTCCTTGTAGAATACCCAAGAGGAAAACGGAAACAAGGAAAGARGACTGTTGAGAGAATGTAAGTTATTTACTAGATATTTATTTAACAAATTATGTCAATTTGTACATGATTCCAGTACATTTGTACTTGGTTTACAAACATTAYAATTAAGCAAGACTTTGAACTATTTAAAATTTAAACTTACTTTAAGTATCCACCAAACTATGCTATCACAAATCCATCTTGTGTTTGTACTCTCTAAAGCATCCATCAAGCAGAAATTTTAATACTATTTCTTTATAGGTACCAAAGAGGTTTAACACATTTTGTCAAAGCTCTGGGTGTCGTAGGAAGAAATTACTACATCCGTTTTGTCTTTTACCTTTTGTGAGTATCTCACAGTACTTTTCATTGATATCCAACCAGCTCAGACAAAAGTCACAACATACTACAGTTTACAATAGACTTTCRTCAAATGAGATTTTAAAACAAACTGGCAGTTGGTGCCAAGTATAAGTTGGTTGTAAAGTTTTATATAGATCAGATGGGTAGCAGTGCAATAGACGGTAAAGGCTGATTTACACAGAACTATGTACACAGACATGTAGTATATACAACTCAAATTGCATCGCGTAAATGCCCCTACGACTTGCCTACTACAGTTATGCACAAACTACAACTTGTAATAGGAGTATGATTTTGAATCATGGATCAAAACCCTACAACTTGTTGTAGGAAAATCAAACTACAAGTTGCACAAGCATTAATTACAACTTTTATAATAATAATATCTAATAATAATGATTGCTATCCCCATAGGTCATGTGTACCATGTGCCTTCTTCCTTCCCACAATCCTTGGTGCCTTCAGCCTGTTTTTTACAAGTGTCATTTACCTACGAGCTGCTATATCTGGCGAAACCTGGAAACCATGCCTRGAGCCAAGAGCTGATAAGACAACGGGTAACAATAACCCCAGTCAGCCCCCCACAGTACCGCCCCCTAGGAATCCCCGATGCCAAAGTATTGACAACCTTGCTTACAGATCTGATGCTACCAATCAACTTTAATACATTAATGATTAATTGATRATAATTGATAGTTATTTTTATACCTTGTGCCATAAGAGATATTTTTAACATAAGCATGAGATCAATGCAACATGCTTTGGTGTCATTTTATGGTTTTTGTGAAATAATGGCACAAAATACAATTTAGCAATAATTATTGTTGTTACAAATCGTTTTGCTTTAGCTTTTTCTTAAGTTATCTCATTTATAATAATTACAATAAATTAATAATTCAAGATAATCCATAATGTAAGTAACAGGGGTTTTTTTTCATGTCAATTAGTATAAAGATATAAATAAAGACAATTAATTGGTTTCAGAGGCTTGTTTCGTGTCCTTGTCTTGTATTCCTGTAATATTAATGTTTGTTTTCAAGCTTCTTGTTTCCATTAATGGATTATAGGCTTGAAACCAAAAGTAATAAAAGGAATACAAGACTTAGCCTCTGGCACCAGGGTAAAAGAAAAAGAAAATAGAATTATTTTGCATTACTAACAGTATTATATTTTTGTTAATACACCTAAAGATGTTTGGTGTGATTCACAGCACATTAGATGTACAACAATAATATTTGTAAGTTTAACAAGGATATAATATTTTCTACATATCACATTTGTAAGCTTTAGTGGTCAAATTAAAGTCAAACAACACAAAAATCATTATTCCATGGAAACATGGTATGTTTCAATTATGATAGCAGTACCACTTTTAAGCTGTCAACCTCATGAATTGACAAATTTGCTGTATAATAAAGGTTTAATGGCTGGTGACTGCTCAAGCAATAACGCCAAAACTATTGGTTAGGGTAATATTCCCCAATAGGCCTTTTGCATTAAATGGAATAGTACTAAATCCACAATACTAGATGGCAAAAGAGTGTAAACAAYCTCAAAAACAAAAGGAATGCATCCTGTCAAGCTTGACTTTTCTTTGGTTTAATTATGCCAGTGGGAATCCTGCCCTCCAGCATGGCAGATTTAGTACCATGTAAATGCAAAAGGCCTATATTGGGAAAATYAAAAATCTCATAAATGGTGGTAGAGTTAACTACATGACTTATATTTTAGAAGTTTCTTKTTCCTCTTTTTCCATGTTTTTCATTGAGGTGAAAACTAAAGGGTGTTGACTTTTACAATGGACRGACAATTATTGGTAAAAGTGATACGAGTGGGAATTTGACATTGTTCAGATTATTTTTCATTACTGATCTTTTTTGTAGATGTTTAAATGTTTCCTTCGTATGACGTTTATCTGCTAACGTTTGTAATTTGTATGTACAGTTTTGGATTTTTTCTACATCAATGTATATCCTTTTCAATGGTGTAAATGTACAATTCTTCAAACTTCTTTGTCTATGATTGACACACCTAAAATTRTCTACTTCCACAATTAAACATACAWTCCATAGACATCCACATAGCATGTGCCATCATTTGATTCTTCAAAGGCATCTTCTATGTCTTGAGAGAACCATATTTGGAACTCCTGACCAGCAGTTACCTTATAAGGGCTGGTAAAGTTCTTATAGATGATGTAAGGTGACATACTATTGTACCCTGGTAGGTAATACTCRTGCGAACCACTGATGACATCTTTGTTCAGTGGAAGGATACGTTTTTTTGCTGTATYGGTGATGATGACCCCTAGCTTKTTGTCTGGAGYTCCTGTGTTGCGATCGTTGCTATACCAATGAGATCTTGTTTTTATGTGGYCTTTCTGTGTTGTAATGTACCCAGATTTCCAGACCAGTTTTATTGTGAAGAGCTCTCCTGGTTTTGTTATATTGAAAGGACCAAACTGATTATCTTTAGCTCCAAATGATACTTCTTTGGTGTTGAGCTTGATCCATTTGACTATAAACGATAAAGATAGATTTTTTTGCGCTTAAAATCCGTGGACAATATMATTTTCTTTYAATYTTTTGCGTCTAAAATTGTTTGTTTCACAGATTTCTTTTGCGCGCGMCCTGTACCTGTACAGATATGTTTTRATTTGAGGACTGTAWGTTRGTGGAATAACTGATTATCAATGATAATGAACACTATGATAGCTTTAATCGCAGCCTCGCCTTCCCCTCTCCTTCTCCCCTACGCCTACCGCACTGCACGCAATAATGAAGGTGGACGGTGTGTGGTGAGGGTATGTATCATTTACTACGAAAAAGAGCCAACATTTGAAGGGACAGTAACTTTCTCTCATTTAGCTGCATCAAATTTATCATTATATCACAACAGTTTCTTTAGAAAAACTGATGAAGGACCGGCGAAAAATACTATCAAAACGTGTGTTATCTCTTCTTGGCAACGCATAGCAATGACATAAAAAAATGCGGATTTAACAATAGTAGTTTGTTCAATATGATAGTATGATGTTAGTGGTAGTATTTCCCAAGATAAAATTTATTGAACTCCATGATATTATGATGACAGCAGAGGTTGCATTCGAGTGCAAACACTGATTTTAAAAAAGCATGAAAAACTTTAGTAATTATACAGACCATATTGYGATATCTAACATTACTGGTTAGTAGTTTTTCACGCTTTAGCGCTTTATAGGCAACCTTTTATTGGTGATAAATTTCAAAAAAAAATTACTAACCAATTGGGAATAGTTTTAATAGTTTAAAGTGATTCACATGTTCGTCAAATTGAAACACTCGATGTTTTGAAATTAATAGGGTGTTTTCATGCAGGTAGTTCTTAAATAGCGAAGAATATAGCTGTATGATTATTAAGGTGTTTCTGATGGGAAAAATGGTGGTGTGTCGGTAGTCCTAATTGCGGTTGATGCCAGATATGACATCAATTAACGTTATCAAGCGTGCGGACAAAACAAGATACCTCTTACGTATCTGTCAATCATCAATGACGTCATCATACTATCTACTTACGTTGCCGTGATTAAAAAGAAAAAAGAAAAAGAGATTGTATTTCCGTAGCACTACCGTTCAACTGTGCAGCATCCACRGGGAAAACTTTTATCACAAGAAGACAGCGATYATATACAACAGTTGCCCCATRMCATATAAACCCCATGTTCCCATGTTTGTATTACAAACCTGACTCGCAGCTCACTCCCATGAACCCTGGCTGGCACTCACAATAGTATCCAGTTGCCATGGCATTCACTRTGCACCTTGCGTTGTTGAGGCATTTGTGTTTTTCACAAGGGCCCTGAAACATAGTGAAATTCAATGACGCAAAWTTATATGCACTGMACAAAAAKTAGTAAAACAGGCAATACAGACATGAAACAAATAATAATTAACATCAYACAGACGCAAGAAGAAAACAAACAAAGGGTTTGAAGTCAAAACAAATTTAAATGTAATTATATACCAAAAACATCTTACCCAAACACGACTGTAATGATGAAAGCGCGGGCTTTCGGAAAGCAACTGTGGTGAATTCTCAATATCTACATTTAGGATTTCGCAAAGTCGTAAACCATCTTCACGGTTGGACGTTGAGGCCATGTTAAAAGATAAACAGCTCTCGTTCCTTACACATCGGAGCGCGCAGTCAATGGAAGAGAGGACTCTAAACCGTTGAAAAGGCGAAGCATTTAAGGTACTCAGCTCTCTCTTTAAAAAGGACCCAATGTGCGTCTCTGTGCAAAACGAAGACGTAATTACAGCAAGAAGAAGGAACAGACGTCGCGAAAAAGTTAACATATTAAATCACTTGATGATTTGCCGAGAGCATTAGTATGAAAACTAAAACAACTTAGAAGAGCATCCGTTTTTGTAGGGCAGCGCAGCATATTTCCTTTTTTTCTGTGACCTTATTAGTTCTTGAACATCTTATTGGTTACCCCTTTTCGGATGTTTATCTTTTGGTCTTATTACGTCGCATTCGACTCAATTAAGACTCAAACTTGGAAGATGTTATTGCAACGTGTTATCGCAAATGGCAGCGATATATCTCGGCTCTTGTAGGTTGGTAAATAAAACGAAGAATGTAAGACAAAACAGCTTYGGTATTCATAATATTCTCATAATTTCTATTGCTCTTGGCCGGGTTGTTCAAAGAGTTAATCAAAGGTTAACTACATAGGCTTAGATTTATCCAGAATTAGCACTAATCTAGCTTTCTAAGTTCTATACCCGTCAAGCATTTTTATAATTAAAATATKTAGTAAGAGAACCTATCTTTACAGTTTTACTCTGACAACTACCACAGTCTTCAAATGTCTAAAATGTTTAAACTTCTGATTATAATCCAGTTTAAGTGCCGGAATGGGATTTGAATGTGGAATAAACAATCCCGCAAAACAAAGCGCGGTTGTCATTTTGAATGGCAGTTAAAGAATATCCACTCCATTTTCACATATTAAAATTTATTCAAACAATTCATCTTTATGATAAGAAGGTTGGGATTTATGTAATCTTTAATAATGTCACTTTGGGATAAATTAAAAATGTTTACTGAAATGTTTTCTATACGGAACTTTTACCCTATTCATCCTAACCTTTCAAATTCACTCCACCTGTAATCTTCTCAGCAACTCCTCAAAAAAGATCACTGTAGACCCTTTATAATTAATCAAAACAAAACGGGTAAGCAAAGTGCCCGCAAGCAGAGTAATAATGATAAGCTGTTTTTCACTCCAGTACAAATATAGAGTACTGTTATGGACTTTTGTGATAGCATGATTTAAGAAACTGAAAAAGTCTGTTATAGTCTGGACACGTTTTTACAATAAAATCAAGTACGTCCTTTGGAGTTTAGTTGTCGTTTTTTGTCTTATATCAGTGTTTTTCATTAATTCTATTTTCAATTTCAAATTAAAACATAGCCCCCATGGCGGTGTAGATATATCTCGGTACTATCAGATCTTCCAGTTTAAAAAACGTTTTAATTGTTTATTTGCATTTCGTCTTTATAGATTTTTATTCCTCCTTCCCAGTCAAGCCCTTAAGAGATAACTAGAGATTAACTTTTCATTCATCATCCAAGTAGCGATCAGTGATTTTGTCTTCTGGCATATCTTGATTTCAAGTCGGGCTTCCTGTGGTAAGGGTTATCCATCATGCAACGCGACCTCTTACTACGATACTTGGCGTCGTGTTTGCGTTTCGAAAGCGTGGGGTGAGCGTTATCCTTCGCTTTGCTGCTCTAAATGAGCTCCAACTCCCAAAAGGTTAGTTGATGTAAAATATAGTTCATAGATCGTTATTTTTGAAAACAAATATTTCAGTAAAAAGTGATATTTTTATTGTTTTTGAGCGTAAACTATAAAGCAGTAGTTACGTTACGGACGACTCAAAGACGCGCTTCTCGATGTGGAAGCCAAATGCCATATATAACACTTAAAGTAAGATTATTTAAATGTTAGTTGTTTGTTTGAGTCTTTGACTATAGTTKATTGTATATCACTGTCRAAAGTATTGCGGRTTTCGATCAAAGAAAAAWCACGTTTCTCAAAAGCATGTTTGTGGGAGGGTCCCGTCTTCGYGTGAGTCAGAATKTTTTGTGTGTGGTGGTTATAAACTGTGCTACACCGAKTTAGATTTTCATCTACAAGTTACTGAAGCCAGTGTTACTTTAGGACTTGTATCGTTTATYGCTKTTACTGTTACTACTSGACGTTTCTACTATAGTTCTTTTGCTTGACAAATGAATAGATCAAGTTACGGTTTTGACACCATTTTGTCTGGGTAGGCACAKTCTCGCAAAATAACAAGGACACACTGTGAAATCGATGGTTAAATTCCAGTTCTTAAAGAATCATTAATTTCGAACGTTAGATACTATGAAAAGGAGTTAACTGGCGAGTTTTGAAGGACTTAGTTGATCTAGTGAGGAAGCAGATAGGTGCGATATTGTGGATTATAGCTCTGATGATGAGAATTCTTCGTTTTCACGTGACGTCACACTAATTATGCACGCCGGAAGTAAAAAGTTCTGGTGGATAAACAAACGATCAACTGGTGATCGTACAAAGCGCTAGGTCACGGGTCACTTATATTCTTTGTCATAAAAGTGGTTTTAAATGGGTTATCTTTGTGCAGTTAAAGACTGTGGACACAATAGCATCAAGCACCAAGGCGAGTATCGGTTTTTCAGATTTCCAGGCATAAAAACGAAGCAAGGAGAAGCAATCCGCCAGCTTTGCATAGAGCGAAGACGAGTGTGGCTTGCTCGGATTTTCAGGAGCGACCTCAACGAAAAATCCATCGAAAACACTCGTGTTTGTAGCGATCATTTTGTAAAAGGTTAGTAATACAAGTTACATTCAGAAAAGACTTGTTTTGCTTGCATTTCCTTCGGAATTACGGCAGGAATGCCCACCTTATTTCACGACTTCCACGTGGGTAACTT